AAATTGTTACCTCTAGATGATCCCCAACCTAGATATAACATATTTTTACACTATAAGCGCGAGGGGCAGCCATTTTATCTGGCAGTTTTTGTCTGATTTTCACGAAATTCAAACTCAACCTGCATTATGGTGTATTGGCGATATATTCGAACTTGTTTTTAAATCGGATAAAAATTGTGACCTCTAGAGGGACCACAAGCTAACCATGTGATTTTTCGTACAATTATGGTCCGATACATGAGATCTTTAGAAGATAGATCTATATTTCAAGTTTCGACTAAATTGAATAAAAATTGTGACCTGTAGAGCGTCCACAAACAAATTGTGGAAGGACAGAGGCGACGACAATATACACATCCACATGAATATGTGGGTGCATAAAAACTGTGATCTATAGAGTATCCACAACCTTAGTATTGTTATGCATATATATTTGTCAAGTTCAGCATCCCAGGAAACCACCATCGACTGTGTTTGCAAAATTTCACTTTATTGCTGAATTATTTTATTAGCCAGAAATTGCTCAGAAAGTGTCTTTCATGATCCAGACCCCCAGGAGCTTTCGGGGCCTAGGCAGCTCCTGGACCTTCGCCTAGAGTCCTGGGGTAGTAGCACCCCCCACCACCCCAAATCAAGAATTGATTCCGCCGGCCCTGATAATGTGGTCCATCATGTTCCCGAAGCAAAGACTGCGAGTTCTACAGCATCTGGACGTTGCTAGATTACTTTACAATTCCCGAACTTATAGCTGCGTTATCAGCAGACACATGAACAGCAGCGCCCAAACAGAAGTCGTGACATAGCGACCTCCACGGAAACCTTGACATTGAACGAACCTTGTACTCTGCAACTCGATTATCACAGGTAGACATTTTAGCTTAAAAGTGCGGGAGTTGGTATTCGCGATGATTGAGGAATCTGATTGGCTCCCAAACTGTGTGAATACCCAATCAAAATTAGTGCCGAAATATGCAGGGTATTACTTAAAAGCCTTGATAAGATGTACGTAGTTAAAGCGAGATCAAGCCTTCTATTGAAGATGGTGGTCCATAGGCTCTATTCATTTGGTATCATGCTTCTGTGTTAGTATTGTCTAACAGTGTTTCTCTTATTTCTGATGTAGCCTACTGTTTTATGTTGTAGTACAACTTGTACACTCATCTTATATTATGAAATCAATATGATCTACCGGTATTACTTACTAAAAACCCATTAGTACTTTAATTGGAGATTTTCATAAAAAAATTTTTTTTTCAATATCTTAAGTGTAGGATAAAGAAAGAGACTGAGGTTATGCCAGGAGGCCGAGGTTTTTCTTTTGCAGGTTTTTCTGAAGTCTTTCGTCCCCAGCATAACCGAAGTCGAGGACTTCATCTTCCTTATAAACCGCCTATGTTTACATGTATGTAAGATGAGAATATCCCAGAATTCCGGTAAGAAAAATGTTACAATATTATGTTTTCCTACGAAAAAAAACATACCCTGGAAGAATAACCTGTAACAGGTTTAAAGAAAAACGTTCTGAAGAATAAGCCTAAATTCCCATGTACATGTATATATTCAAAGCCCCCCCCCCCCCCCCCCCCCGACTTTCAGACCGAAAGTTATTCCAGGCATAGAATATACCCCAAAGATCAAGAAGATTTACCGTTACAGGTTTATAATTAAATATACAAACACATCTGAGTTGACCAATTTAGATAGCACTTAACATATGGTACTAGAATATTTAAGAAATTTAACAATTGTTAAGTAGGATTTTCGATGATTACTTGAGTCTAAAATAAGGTTTCAAATATAATATTATGCAAGATCAATTTATTACTGGTACCTTTATTTCTATGGCTGGTACTCCCATTCCTTCGCTACCTAAATGTTTTATTCAATATATTTGGGGTTTGAGCATGGCCCTATATAGCTAATTTCACAGCAGGCAGTATTGTATTTACATGAATAAAATAAATGACTATACTTACACAATACAAAGAAAAACGGATTTCAAAAAGTACCAATGTTAGAGTCATTTGGAATTATCAGTAAATAAATAAATATAAGATTAATATGAATACTACTGTCTGAACCATCGTAAATTTTAAACGGATTTCTTCGATTATGAACAAACTACTTAACCTTGGTTATTATAAACCTACCTGTGTGTTTGAAATCACTTCCCGTTAAATGAAATCCATTGCATAATTTAATATCCCAACGAATAAAAAGGTTCTCTCTTGGAAAATTGAATTCCAACAAACTTCTGACATTGAAAAATACTAAAATGGAAGCTGATTACTTCACTCTCGGGAGAGATCATTTCATATAAAGGGTTTACAGCCGTAATTTTACGACAATTTAAGTATAAGAATAAGCTATAAATCTTGGCTCGGTATTGAGTTTTGGACGTCCACACAGATAACTGCCCGTATTTTTTTACCATCTTTTACATTCTGGTAAAATCTCTGCAAAGTTTATAGCTTTACCTTTTGAAATATTTTGTTTTAATCATATTTTTGATTAGAGAGTCTGGTGGATGAATTTTTTTTTAACACAAATGCGGCACAAAAACAATGACATTTGTTTTACGGGCCTTACATTTTACCCATGAATATCATTAATATGATAAACAACATGATAGATTCAACGTATATGTACAGGGAATTTACAATTATGGGGTTATGGTGTGATTTAAGTATTATTTACAATAAATTAAAAGATAGTTGACGATAAAGAGAAAGAGAGAGAAATGGTGTTTAACGTCCACTCGACACAAACCAGGTCATTTCGGGACCAACATGGTTCAACTCCACTTCACTAATTCGCCCGCGCATAGGGGTCCTTAGCAGTGGGAGGAAACCGGAGGACCCGGAGAAAACCCACGAGATTGGACAGGTGGCCCTACTCCTTGTCACGTACAACCGGAAAATCGAAACCACGCCAGTTGACTCAATGACAGACTTTATGATACAGCGCGCACATGCTAACCATTCAGCCATCCAACCCCCTATGGTCAAAGCAGTTGAAACTAGAAGTGATGGTGCGCTTCTTAAGAGGTCTTATAGGTTTATAGCATTATAAACCCACATAAAAGGCATTTTCAAGGCTGCTGCAACGCCCTTATAGATGTCATTGAAACGGTTATTATTGGATTGAAGGAATGATATCAAATTGATGATACACTCGAAAACTTGTAATGTCTTCAGTTGATATTTTTTGTTGCCCAAACTCAAACGATCGAAATGATGGCACTTTGTTTTAATTGCAACGCGTGGTTGTCAAAATATCTGTCAATCAAAGTTAATCCACCCCCGCACCAGCTTCACTGGTTTCATCCAACACGTGACGAAAGCTATGTTGTCTTGAACTCAGTCAAAAATACAAGTAACTACGTCAAATTTTCAAGAGAGAACCTTCTTATTCGTTGAAATATTTCATTGTAGAATGTATTTTATTTAACAGGTGGTGATTTCAAACGCACAGGTAGGTTTATAATAACCAAAGTTAAGTAGATAGTTCATAATCGAAGAAATTTGTTTAAAATTTACGAAGGTTCAGACAGTAATAATTGACTCTTTAATGTTGCAATTTTATGGGATTAAATCAAATATGCACCAAATCAAACGGCGTATGTAGACTGGAATAACCAGACACTAGAAATTTGCACTCGCTTGAGACTGACTAACTGATTTGAAATTGGAGTAAAAACGGAAACCATTGAATGTAAATCAGTTTATATACATTCATATTACAGTATTATATGTGTTGCGACCCACTTTTGTCAATTTCTAGGTCTCAAATGTTAGCGATTTAGCTCCTTTAAACTTTAATATCTGAAGAATGGAATTAAATCAGTTCAGAAGTTGCCAAGAAAAATGTATTTTTAATACAGATACCTTACAGTTAAGCTGTATTATTTGAAAATGTTATGTGCATAATCACTCTAATGAACCTATTGAAGAACATGATTGAATTCTTAATCATACAACCATTTAATGAAGACAAAAATGAAAAACAGAGATATCTGTTCTTAAAATTCTGCTTTTTTATTATTGACATATTTAGTATTTGAAATAATTTGTTGAACAAGCAAATGTTCTTTTGGCTATGAAATAGGGTAAATTTGGAGAGAGAAAAAAACACATCAAAGTTGGGAGTCACATTTGTTGAGCAAGTCTGTACTTGAAAGTGGAATGGCCATAACTGATTTAATTACCACAATTCATTACTGATTTATATGTTGGACATCTATTGTTACTGACGAGAAAGTGATTAATTTTTTTATGTGGTTGTGACAAAGTGGCTGTGTTTAGCCCTCTAGTCCAGATCATCTGTGCTGGATAAGATTATTTCTTATTTAAAAGCATATTTTATAAATCCATTTTTTATGAAGAGCCAAGAAGACAATAATTCTATATTTAATACCGAAAGATAAATTGTATAGTTATAGCAAATATGACAGATTATTTCATAATGAATTCAGATACTGGTTGATAAATAAATATGGAATTATTAGAAAGTGTGTGTGTGGGGGGGGGGGAGAGAGAGAGAGAGAGAGAGAGAGAGAGAGCGCGCGCGAGCTATTCCAGTGCAAGGGAAGTAATTCTTATGAACATCCGGTTATGTCCCTTGGTTGTTGGTAAAATTTAAATTATATACAATTCACGTATTATTGGGCTATTCAGTAAATTAGTGTGAAAATAAATGCCACGAAATAAGTTTATAGCTAAAGGCATATGACTGAAATTCGCATTGGAGTGTTGAAATATTTCCTGTATCCGTCATGAAGGAATTTTATCTGAAAATTTTACAACGGCATTAACCTTTTTTTTTAACCCAGTGCGCAGTTGCGTCCCTTCCTTCTACGACTAGAGTGACCTTAAGGTTTGACCTCTAAGTTATCCAATGAGATTGTACGATTAAAAGACTTGCCAATATTTGGCCAATCAGATTCGTGGTTACAAATGCTGAACATCATCAACATAATCTCGCGCGAGGTGATCGTGAGCACGAGCAAAGCCGAAGCCGATTCGCCATTTGACGTCATGTCGCTGGAGAGGCTTCCCAGATGCCAATGCGTCGAAGTGTATCGTACAATGTATGGATGTCCGCCATTCTGGTGGCAGAGCTTCAGACCCTCCGCTGCCTCTACCCCCTATACATAGGAGTTTTTGGCCGGCCCCATGCAGTTCACGCCTCTCCAGTTAAAAGAGAAACTTCTAGGGGCACTTGACGAGGATAATAATGTAAGAGTTTGAAGATATAGCACATCATTTTTCATTTGTGGTGTTCGTAACTGAACGAGGTTGCCCCACAACATTAGTTCTGTTTAGGTAGTTGGCGAGGAAAGTGCTGATTAGGACTCTAGGCCTTGTGTGGCTAAACACTTTTTAACTACAATTGTTGATGGGTCTTCTTAATCTACACAGTTAACGAGATCTACACATATTCATTTAAATTTTAAAAAAAAAAGTATTTATTTTCATTGTTTACTGGAGCTTGTGTGCTCTTTTTGACTTTTTTGTTTTAATTTTAAGTTTTAGCTTAGTTCAGAAATACTGAAATAGGCCTAAAATCTATTCATTACTTACAGCAATATTAGGCCTTGTTTATTTGGCCATTACAGATTTCTGCTGGGTCCAATTATTTATCACTTTTGTACAATAATTTACGTGCTGTAACTAACAGTGTAACTGTTCACTGAAACTTTTTTTTAAAAAAAAATTTTCTTGTTTGCCATTGGTTTTAAAACCAGTGCAAAACTGGTATGCTTGATGTCAAATGCTATTGATTGGTACTGGTAGGGTGCTGCACAATGAAAAAAAATCTCTATAACTATTGAAAGCACTTGGCACATTGGAAGTATCGCATTGCATCCCTGTGATAAGTAAAGCTGTAAGCCTACTGATTATTTTTAGCTATTTTTTATTATTTCATAAACATCCTTTTTAGCAATTGATTTCTGCTTTCACATTAGCTAGGCCTACAAGAATGTAGCTAAAAACGTTGAGATATACTGATGTACTTGTGTTTAGCTACGATTGGGTGCCTTTAGATTTAGTTCAGCTCTGAACGTAGGTCTCGTTACACTCGCCCTGTATGTTCAGGAACCGTCCTATTGAATCGTTGTCGATAAACTTTCGGTTCCCAGTCAATTTTACTGGTCAATATTTACTGCTAAACGGTCGCATATCAGTATCTGTGAACGTCTGTACAGTGTATAAGAACATTTTAGTGAGAAAGTAAGACCTTGCTTACCTCGCAAGAGTCAGTATGTCCGACACAACATGCTGTTAAAAATACGTCCCCTTCTTCTAAACCGCTTGGCAGAAGCCATTGAAATCTAATTAAAGGGTATCACTGAAATTTACGTCACTCGGCCATATAACTTATAAGACAAAACAAAATTAAGGTAAGCAGGGGAAACAGAATTGGAATGTTAAAGAAAAAAAGGAATTGGGTTAGGCAAAGCAATAAATGACTGAAAATTTACAATTTTGCAAAGATCCCAATTTTTCCAATTAATTTTCAAATTATAATAATGAATAATTGATGAAATATTTATTCTTATTCAGAAGTGGGCAACTGCAAGGTAGACAAAAGTTAGATAATGTTTTATTAACGTCATTAAGCAGATGACTGCGGTTGGGACTATTCATTTTTTTTTTTTAATTGTTTCCTTCTATTCAGTATAACTATTAGTTTTTCTCTGTTTTATTAAAATAAGGACTTGTGCCCTAACTTTGTAATCAATACACTTGAATTTGTTACTACAACACATAAGCGATTTAATTTTAGATTGCTTTTAACTAAGCTTACATTTCACGAAAATGGTTATTTATAAAGGATCCATTCATTTGATCTGATATTATTGTTCGTTTGTTGTTTGAGGTGTCTGTATATTGTCATGTCCATAGGTTTGTCTTGTGTGTGGTGTGGTCCAACTGCACTTACTATTGACAACCTTGTAAAATCAATAAGGAAAATACGACTAGTATTCTGTTCTTGCTCCAGCACAATCTTTGGTAACATAAATGCTGATCCTAATGGTACAGATAAAATGATTAGGGGGCAACATATAGTCGTTCAGATGAGACGAAAACCTGAGGTCGCATGTACACATTGGCGTGCACGTTAAATAACCTGTGACATTTGGAGTTCATAATAAGAGTAGGTCGGCCCTAATGTCCCTTGTAACACACTGTATGGTATATACCCGTCTTCATTAGCTGAGTTGGTGCAGAACAGTAGGATGTTAAATTTCATTTCCTTATTTGATAACAATATCATCACATGCTTGGCTATGTTTAGGCCATTGCACACTACAGCTGACCTAGCATGTGCATCATCTGTTATGTAATCACTTTACAGAATATCATTGATTTATAGTCCACGTTTTGTTGATTTTCGTTTCTCTAAGTAATTACAAAACTTCTTATTTATAGGTTATTGATGCAGCTGTGGTGCTGGAGGTAATCTCCATTTTAGAAAAGTTTCCAATAACAAGAGAAGCACTTGAGGTAAATGTTTTCTTGGTTTGCACCGAATAGTGAATCGGACTAAATTATTATTATTTTGTCAATTATCTGCCTATTTGGATAACTGGATACCAAGTAATTCTTTGGGAGGTTTAAATGTAAAATGTCATCACAGAAATTCCAATTTTAGGTCTGTCCTAAATTATTGAAATAAAATTAAACCATATGTTAGTACCAAAATGACCTAGTTTGTGTCGAGTGGACGTTAAACCCCATTTCTCTCTCTCTCTCTTTTTGGCTCAATTAAAATGTTATTGTTTAAGAAATCAGTTTGTCATAATTTTCGGGGACATGGCGAATGTAGCATCATTCAGTTCTCTATCCAAGTAATTTGAACATTTAATTCTAATTTTGATAATCCTGTAAATATACACTTTTTCTTATTATTCATAACACTACGAATAGGTAAGTAGCCTACTGATATCCCAAATTGTTTCTGAGATTGTCTAGATAAGATTTCATGTCTGAATTTTAACTGAAATAGAACTATTGCCAGAAATATCCCAGTAATATCCGTATTTTCCTGGAAATGACTCCTTTTGCCAGATGGATAGAGATCTCCAAAAGTACTAAGATTTTTGTAAGATTAAGAATCGATAAGTTTACAAATCGATGGAGATCTCTAAACATCTTGATATAACTGTTTTGTTATATCAACTTAAAACTTTAAATGCAATCAATGACATGTTATTTTCTACTGACTAGATAACTGTCTTATATACTTGCCAAAGTTATAATGGTTATGAATAGTCATCTTTATCAATTCACTAATTAATAGACTTGTGCCCTGAAATTTCTTTAAATACATACATAATCATATTTATTAAATCCAGCAATCATTTCTGAACAGCTTGAAATTTCTCATTTGCATAATGGAACTTGAAGACACTTTAATCTTGGGATACCCCGTGAAATCTTTCACATGATTTATTTTGATTTTTTTTTCAGCAAACACGGATTGGTCGCCATGTGAATGAACTGAGAAGAAAGACTACCAATAAGGAATTGGCCAAGCGAGCAAAGAAATTAGTGCGAGGATGGCAAAATCTATTGACTGATAATTGTAATGTTAATGGTGATAGTGTTAGTACACCACCTCAACACAGAAATGTCAGCGTTTTACAATCAGATGGTAATGAGTCAAAGCCATCAAGTCCTTTTGCTCGATCTCCAGCAATAAGTAAAAGTTATGTCACTCAAGCACGTTCTAGTCTTTCTCCTGCTGTTAGTGGTAGGCCAGTGACCCCAAATTCTCACTCTAGAGCTACAGTATCTAAACAACCAAAGGTACCCCATGTTGGTACCCCTGAACTTAATAGATCTAAGTTTAGTCCTGGGTTACCCAGAAACTCGAGTACACCTAATTTAAGAACATCAGTTAACAGTCCTAACCTTCAAGTTTTACAATCCTCTCGATTAAGCCCTGCTGTCTCTCATTCGTATTCTCCCAAGCTACAAAACCAAGCCAAAGCAGACTTCACTGGAAAACCGAGTAAATTATATTCCCCTAAAATCAGGCCAAATACACCATGTCAGTCACCTCAGTTATTAGGTGCTGAAAGGCCTGGAACACCAGTGGGAAATGAAGACTCATTATCTAGTTTTCCGGGCACTCCTTCCTCAGTTCAGAGTGGCAATAGTCAGGAAACTGGTAATGGGCATGCTAAGAATAAAAAACGTAAAACATCACCACAAAAAGGAGGAAAAGAGAAAAAATCAAATCATTCCAGAGAATCATTATCTCAAAGCAGTGAAATTGGCTCAAGGGCAGATCAAAGTAATGTATCTAAAACAGACATTGCTAATCGTAAACGAACACGTCCAGGAGACAACAATTCTGTCCCACCGGTGAAGCAACAAAAACTAGATTCTTCTGTTCATAGTCTTTCATCAAAACATCCTTTGAATGGAAAATTGTACCAAAAAAATTCAAGTGATAAAGCAAAGCATAATGCTGTTGTGATTAATAGTGCTACCTTGGAATCTTCACGAAGCTCCAATAGTCCTCCACTAGATAAATCACTGGACTGTTCAACACCTAGTAACAAGAAATCTGTCACCAGACAAGATTCCCTTAAATTTGGTTCAGCTGTAAAAACACCGAAAGTGAAAACAACGGCTGAGTTAATCGCTGAGCTACAACAAAAAACTGGAAGTGCTAATTATGGAAATGATATATTAGAAAAATTGAGAACAAAACAAATAGAACATGAAGCTGATGTACAATGCTCGGTTTTACCACCTGGTATTAGACCAAGACGTAAACGTAAAAGTAATGATTCATCATATATCAGTGTGCCATCCCCATCATTAAGTCAGACTAAAACTGAACTTGTTCAAAAATTTTTACAAACTTCACTTTCACCCACATCTACCGATTTAAGTTCACATATAGATGATTTCTCTGTGAAAACAGAATCTCCCATTAACTCATCTCAGAATGCTGAAGAATCAATCATTAATATTTCCAAGGACAAAAAACCAAAAGTTGTTAAAAATGAATCTGAATATATGCAGCAATATAGTAGGGAAATTGAGAACTCGAAGGAGTTAGTTGTTAAAACAGAACACAATAGTGAACAGCAAGAGAAAAGACTAACTATTGATGAGATCTATAGTCAACTTCCACCTATTGACATAGACAGTATTGATTGGGAAAGTTCAGACTATGTGGTCCCTGAACCCCATTCTGTCCATGATGGAGATGTTTTACGTGTACATAGTGAACCATGGGAAGGGGTAAATGGCTGTCGTGATCGAAATAATGTTTGGCATGATTGGGCAAGTACATTAACTCTGTCATCCTATGATGATGACCCATTACATATCTTGCCCTATGTCATTGTTGATGATTAAATTATGTTTATTTAAATTGAAGGATTATAAGATGTGAACATGTTATTAATATATGGAATGTGTTATGTGGATGGGAGTTGTTTATATTGATTTATTACCTTCTTTCCTAATATTATTTGTTGCATCAATCAACCTGTAAAATTTGCATTGAAATTATTGCTATAAAAATTTATATCATGTTTTTTTCCCTACTTGTTTATTTTGATATATTATCATTAAGACATAGAGCATTACTGTGATGAACATCAGTAGATTTCTGGAAATGACAATTGTCGAAACATTTGTCTGTGTATGTGATCAACAGTCTTTAAGTTCTAATATTAAAATTATTAGATCTTTTTGTTACGAATTTATTACAAAATGTTTTTAATTATAGGGTCCTCCAGTGTTTGGAAATACTAGCTATCTCATGATACTGTATGAATTTGATTGACTTGTCCTCCCTTTTCATAGTTAGTACAAATTAAGCAGAAATCGGATATCAGTGGGATTTTCTATAATAAATGTTTCAAACATGTTACTTATTGATGTGATCTGCTGTGGATCCAAGCTAGTCAAACTATTTTCTTCAGCAATGACTTGCAATAGCAGCCAAGCATAATTTCAATCTGATCTGAACTGTAAATCCTACCATTGTGCAAATGGTACATACCAGGTATGATAAAATGAAAAAACTGAAACATTGATTAAAACAGAACAAAGTAAATAATAAAAGCAAGGACTGTATTAAGTCTGGTCTGTAAAAACTGATTTAGAACAAATTTTAATGATCTATTAGACTTGTAAATGCATGTTTTAAAGCAAGTATTCATCTTAAAATGCACACGATTTGATGATTAGTTTCAGACTCCATTTCTCTAGGTCAAACAGGAATTTTCTTCAAATTCATTATTTTCTGTAATGTTTTAAAAGCCTTTTTTTGGTAAGAAAAGTGAATGATTTTAATATTTGAATGGATTAGACTGTCACATGTAGTTTATAACCCTTTTATTAAATTATCACAAAATACATTCAATGACCATATGAGAAGTATTGTTTTGTTCATCTGATATTGTTTTGTATACATCCACCTTTATGTGGTGATATCATTTATTGTCATCACCCATTTTCATCAGTTATTTTACATTTGCTAGGATTGATTTTTCTATCATAAAGAAAATTATTTAAAAAAAAAAATAAGTCTTGTTAAACGTTTTATTACCAAATTACATTATTGATTTTCAGCAGTTTAATGCATTCAATCTAGAGGTTATGAGTGATTTGTGGCAGTTCTACTTTCGTCAAATTAAAAATTTCATGCAGATTTAGAATATTTATATGTACAAGGAACCATGAAGCTGTAAAACCTGTCTTCGTTATCCAAGTAAGAGCAGAACAGTAGGACGTTAAACCCTATTTCATTTGTAAAACCTCTAAAGATAGAGGGTCACATAGAGCTCAAAGTTGATCATCAGATTGAAATGTGTGGGTGTTCAGTTTTCTTTTGTCTATTCATCAACTTTCCAATTTGGGAGTTCAGAAACCGGTTCATATATTGGCATCGCTCAGTCCAGTGCTACAATATCTTGTCAACTCTTAAGAGACATAAATTCAACCATAATTCTTTTTATATGCCCATATTGTCGTTGCCCCTATGGTGCACAAATTGTTTGTGGGCACTCTACAGGTCACAATTTTTGTCCAATTTTGACGAAACTTAAAATATGTTTATATCCCAAAGATCATGGTTCCTTTCAATATTTGTGCATATCTGACCTCAACTTCCTGGAGTATGGCCCCTGTTAGTATGAAAAATCACATTTTTATACGCCCACATTGAAGTGTGGTTGTATATTGTTGATGCCCCTGTCCGTCCGTCCGACTTTAAATTTATACAGTGTTTAAGGTCAAGAGACGAAGAAACCTATTGATTTTCATTGATTTCTGATAATTACTGCCAGAGTTATAACCCTTGATCACTTGTGGACACTCTACAGCCTAAAGTTAATATCCGATTGACTTTAAATTTATACACAGTATTTAAGGTCATTAGCCTTGATCACTGTGACAACCTTGTGGCGGCTCATGTTAATATCTAATTTCAAATTTATACACCGTGTTTATGGTCATGAGATGAAGAATCCTATAGAATTTCAACGATTCCCGATATTAATTTTAGCCGTTGGCACATCCACAAGATTTTTCATTGTGATAAAGGGCCATAACTCTTGCAGTAATTATCAGAAATGGTTGAAAGTTAGTAGACTTTGTGGTCTCATGACTTTGAACATTGTATTAATTTAAAGTCTATCGAATGATTAATTTTGTCTCAAGAGCATCCATATTTTCAAAGTGATCAAGGGCCATGACTCTGGCTGTAATTATTGGAAATTGTTGAAAATCGATAAGCTTCGTCTCCTAACCATAAACATTGTGTATAAATTTGAAGTCCATCAGATATTAATGTTGGCCTCTATTGAATAATTGTATACTACGGAGGACGAACATGGGCTAGTGCACGACCACATCAGTGTGGGCGTATCAAAAGGTTGCATGGGCCCCTGCTTTTGGTGGACCTTACAGGCTTCTGTCTAGTCATCTTTAGGATAATACGGTGCTGCAAATAGATACCAGTATGCAACTTTCTCAAATAATGAGACGTACCATGAGGTGTTCTAGAAAGTGAATTATAGTTGTTTTACAGAGGTTGCTACACTGCAGTAATATGAAAGAGTTACAGGACAAGTTTGCATTCATTATATTTGATTTGACGTTTGAACATAGCTGTATATTTTTACAATATGTTCTGTGTGATTCAGTTTTTGACTTAATTCAATGAAATTTCGGTTAGCGGAATTGTTTTATATGTATGCTATATTATGAGGTACCGTATTTGATTGAAATTAGTACACTGCTTTAAGGATTAGACCAATTCGCTGTATCTTCGTCTCATGACCTTTAACACTGTGTATAAATTTAAAATCAATCGGGTATTAACTTTGACCTCTAGAGCGTCCACAAGATTTTTTGAAGTGATCAAGGGCCATAACTCTGGAAGTAATTATCGGAAATCGCTGAAAATCAGTAGGCTTCTTCGTCTCATGACCTTAAACACTGTATAAATTTAAAGTCAATCGGATATTAACTTTGACCTCTAGAGCGTCCACAAGATTCTTTGAAGTGATCAAGGACCATAACTCTGACAGTAATTATCAAAAATCACTGAAAATCAATAGGCTTCTTCGTCTCATGACCTTTAACACTGTGTATAAATTTAAAGTCAATCGGATATTAACTTTAGCCTCTAGAGCGTCCACAATCCGGACGGACAGGGCGACAACATTATACGACCACATTTCAATGTGGGCGTATATAAAGGCGATTTTCCGTACAATCAGGGGCCATAATCCAGCAAGTTATGAGATCTGAAATGGACTGAGATATTTCAGATATAAAGATATATGCACTAATATCGAAAGGAACCAAGATCTTTGGGATATAAACATGCCTTCCAAGTTTCATCAAAATCGGGGTTCGGCAACCTTGATATACCATATGTTTACACTATTTGCGTATGAGGGGCGGCCATTTTGTCCAGTAGTTTTGGTCCGATTTTGACGAAATATGAACTCTATTTGTGTTTTTTTAAATCAGATAATAATTATGACCTGTAGAGGGACCACAATGCGTGAATATCGAAAGGAACCAAGATCTTTGGGTTATAAACATGCATTTTAAGTTTCATCAAAATCAGATGAAAATTGTGACCTCTAGGGTGTCCAGAAGCTAAAAATGTGATTTTTGATACAATTAGGGGTCATAATCCAGGAAGTTATGTTCCGAAACACCTATAATTCAAGTTTCGTCAAAATCGGATAAAAATTGTGACCTGTATACGGTACACATAATATGTCAACATGAAAATGTGGGCGTATAAAAATGTAGTTTGTTTAGTAGGGAGGACCTTGTAGTAGAGAGAGAGAAATGGGGTTTAAAGTCCACTCAACACAAACTAGGTCATTTCGGGACTAACATATGGTTTAATTTTATTTCAATAATTCACTTGCACGTGTAGGGGTCTTTAGCAGTGGGAGGAAACAGGAGAAAACCAACGAGGTTGGACAGGCGACCCTACTCCTTGTCACGTACAACCGGGGATTCGAAACCACGCCAGTTGACTCAATGACAGGCTTTATGATACAGCACGCACGTGCTAACCATTCGGCCAGGAACTTCACCCTAGAAATTTTGGTTGCAGGCCTACTACGATTGTTATGATAATAAACAAAGTCTCAATTATCCATTTTTAAATTAAATTGTTAACTAGCAATCAGCATCCAATGGTTTAGGCAGATTAAGCTCTTACATAATGCATCTTTAACAACCTATAAATAGCTATTTATTTATTTTTTTTTTTTGTTGAAACATACAATAAAATAGATTTATTTCATTAAGTTAACTATTATTTACATATATGCATGCTACAATTTACACAAAGAAAAAAATACAAATTTTAGTTCATGTCATGGATATTTTTCTTTGATATTGTGCAACCTTCTAAAATAACATTTTATGAACAATAAATAAAAAGTAAGGCTTGAATATCACAGATAGCTGTTAATCATAATACATATAGGGGAATACCCTACAATAAACTTGTAAACTTCATGAAGGAATCAATCAGGGTTCCCGCGGCTTCGTCAAAATTTTTTTCAAGGATAAATATACGTCAAATTCAAGGATTTTCAATGACATTTTTTAGCCTAAAGTTACAAATTTTCATCTTAAAAATAACCAAAACATTACCAACTATCGTTATAATCTCATATTTAAAAGGAATTGAAGACTTTTGAAACAAAATTAAGGATCTCAACTGAAATTCAAGGATATTTTCCTATTTCCGCGAAATTCAAGGATATTCAAGACCTTGAAAATGAAATTTTAAATTTAAGTATATTCAAGGATTTTCAAGGACCGCGGGAACCCTGTCAATTATTTGGTTATTTCAAGCTGTTACCAGTTCCCACACACTGGGAAATACCTTAGAAAATATTCTATTTTTATTAAAGTCACAACCTATCACTTTTGTTTATTTTCTCCTTAAACTAGAAGCAACAAAATAGAAAGGAATTCAAAACTTACAATAATGAGTTGTTACAATGGTACCACATTTATTTTGTTTTGCTATTATTAATATCCTTATAATTGCTTCACTGTGCATTCCCAGAAGATGAAATATATGAAATTGATACAAACAGCCTTTCTATTTGCATTTTGAACTGATGGCTACAGACAAATATGGAAAACTTAATAAATTTTATGCAGCTAATTGTGCATAAATGGAATGTCAGCCCTTAGTTCATTTTTATATAATTGTTTACCGTATATAATTTCAAATAATAAGAATTGATTTCATTTGAATGAGGTAGAAATAACAATAATGTTTACATATTATTAGATTAATATTACTACAGATTCATATAGGTTCTATTACAATTTAATTCAATCTAATTATATATTCAATACTCTAATTCTATCACTTTCTAAAACAAGACACAAATGTGTACAGTTAGATAAAACAAGAGGATTAAGTACAGTTTTTTAAAACTGAACAATAAGGAATGAAGGCAACAGAGGTGTAAATATTGTTGAATGAATTGATGAACTAATTCTATTGCTCCTAATAAACTTTGGGTCATATATATATTAGTAATTACCCTAATGAATCTTTAAGAAATATATATATATTTTTCTCTCTGACCATTGGATAAATAGTAACAGTTCATTCAAAACTGAATTAATGCCATTGATATTCTAAATTCAAGAACACAGTTTTGGAGTAATATGGGACATAATAATATAAATGTGTAGCAGGAAAGAAAACCTGTTTGATGTCACGCTGGCTCAATCCGAGATATATGCCAAAATACAATGTTAACCATTACATAGATCAATTTCCGTCCTTAACATAATTACATTTATTAAACATTATCTATGAAAATACAAAGATATATTTTGGGATATAAAGTTATATTTTAAGTTTCATCAAAATTGGATAAAAATTGTGACTTCTATAGGGTCCACAACCTTGGTATTACATACTTTTACACACTATTTGTGTACAAGGAGCAGCCTTGTTGTCAGGCAGATTCAGTTCGATTTTCAGGAAATTCAAACTCAACCATCATTAGGGTGGAATGGTGATATATATAAACGGTTTTTTTTTAAATCGGATAAAAATTGTGACATCTAGAACATGATTTTATGTACAATCAGGTGTATTAATCCAGGAAGTTATGGTGCAATATGCGTGAATATTGACCTCTAGAGGTTCCACAACGTTGACATACCATACTTGTACACTATTTGCGCACGAGGAGCAGCCATTTTGTAGGGCAGTTTCGGTTCGATTTTCACAAAATTCAAACTCAACTGTCGTTTTTGTGTAGCAGGGATATCTTCAGGGTTTTTTTTAAAATCGGATAAACATTGTGACCTATCTAATTGATTTTGATCGAGTTTCATAAACTTTTCAATAGAATGAAGTAAGAAGTCAGTTATTTACCGAAATATGTCAACACTAGTTGTATTCCATTGTAAATATTTCTTAGCACAAAGATAAATACTGTATTCTTATTGTAAACAAAAAATAGTGTGATAATGCATAAAGATAGGTTGCCAGGCAACGAAACATACGGCCACAGCAGCTAAATCTTCCGGGCAGTCAACAAGAGTTGTCGCATATTTTTACTTTTTAAGTAATGAAACATTTATAATACACTAAAATCTGATTAAGAGTAACAACTCATCATTGACTTCAGATTGATACACAGAGTTTAAGGTCTTGAAACGAACAAGTATATTGATTTTCAATGAATTTTGATAACTTGAACAGCTAAATACATCATATTAAATATTTCGTATACTAAACGTTAGCTTGGGGCCGAAATTTATAAAAACCAAACATATAATTATCAGAAAATCATTAAGATTTGTTTGGTTTTTATAAATTTCGGCCCCAAGCTAACGTTTAGTATACAAAATATTTAATATGATGGATTTAGCTGTTCAAGTTATCAAAATTCATTGAAAATCAATATACTTGTTCGTTTCAAGACCTTAAACTCTGTGTATCAATCTGAAGTCAATCGGATGATAACATACATGTAAGCCTCTAGAACTTCACAAGATTTTCAAAGTGATCAAGGGCCATAACTTTGGCAGTAATTATCGGAAATCATTGAAAATCAATAGGATTCTTCGTCTCATGAGCTCAAACACTCCATATAAATTTAAAGTCTGGCAGTAATTATCAGAAATCGCTGAAAATTAATAGGCTTCTTCGCACATGACCTTAAACACTGTGTATAAATTTAAAGTCAATCAGATATTAACTTTAGCCTCTAGAGCATACACAAGCAATTGTGGACGCCGGATGGACGGATGGACTAGGGGCGACGACAATACACGACCACATTTCAATGTAGGCATATAAAAATGACTACTATAAACGGCTCAGAAACTGAAATATCAACATTTATGTTTAAACTGCCTTTTCTCCATTTTCATTTTTCTTCCGAATGTGTCATTTTCTTGTATAAAATGTTAAATATCACCTTAAGTTATCAAACGATTTTGATAATCTATAACCATGTTGTCATTCTGTCACACAAATAATAAATGCATCTACTGAGTTTACTACATACTACTGACTAGATATATACTATAATAATTTAGGTAATTGTTTAAGTTTGACAATGTCTAGAATTTTATCATCATCATTAATTGATATCTGATTATGTGCTTGATCATATAGTAATGGCTTACTATTGCCTCTGTCAAATATTGGAGAACTATCTGAGGAAAATTGTCGACGATAGTTAGGAATATTATATGATTGTGGAGAAAAATCGGGACTAATGACAGCTTCTCTTCCAGACACAATTTCTTTTTTAACAGGACTTTTAAGTAATCGTAATTTAGTGTAGGCATCAGTAAGATCTTTTCTCTGAATGGGTCTAGTGGTTTGACGAACAGGGGAAGCCATTTCATTAGATGATACACTATAATCAGTTTTCATCTGATAATCATAATCTATAGATTTATCTGAAATATCAGTACCATTGTCTAATAGTCCATGTTTCTCCATATATTTCCTAGTAGCAAAGGTCATATCATTAACAGATGGATTATTTTGTGATAGATCTGGCATATCACTATGTAACAGCTGTCTAAGTAATGTCGTTTTTTGTCCATTTGAGTTGCCTAGTGTTGATGCACGATGTTGAAGTTTCATCATCTGAGTGAGTTGTTCATCTTTTAAATATTTCATAGCCATGGCATTTATTTCTACTGATGTATCGGAATCTGAATCAAACATCATTGACATATAGTTGATTTTAGGTATTAGGGTTGTATCTACATGTTTACCACTTTCAGTCGACCTGTAAAATACATCAATTACATGTTATCAAAATATATTCTTGTGAAAAACAACAGCAATCTTTATTACTTACAAAGGAAACACTTTTTAAAATCAGTGATACTGGGTAAAAGAATTGGGTATGGATATTTGCCTCCTAATTTTATCATTGAAGTAAAATAACTATACGTGAAGTAAACTATCTTGCCATAATCATGACAGAGTTTGCATATTCTTTCTCTAAAATGTATTTAATATTTATATTATTAAGAAAATGTCCACGATCAACTTACTTGAGGAAGGACTGTAAAGAGGAAATATTTATTAAGTGATCAGATTCTGTTGTATGATCTGTTAAGGATGTAGGTTCATCTGTTAATACAGTTGTTGGTTCATCAGGATTCTCATCATGACTATTTAAAAACTGGCGAATGTTAGCCTATAATTAAATGGTTAATTACAGTTGGTACCGGTATATAAAACAAAGAAAGTATGTTTTGAAATATAAAGCTTCCAAAACCAATCATTTTAAGTACAACCTGTGAGCTGCGCTGACTCAGTGAGTAAGTGCCGGCTTACCAACCAGGTCTCGTGTTCGAATCCTGTGCTGGCTAAGAAAGTTTCTTTGAATAGAGGGCCTGGAAAGGAACAGCATTTGGATGGTACAAAACTTTGAGGTCACATGTCAATGTTGGCGTGCACGTAAAAGAAGAACTGAAAGTTGGAATTCAAAATATGCCCATTTTAATTTGCCTCATCGGTGGGTTGGCTAGATAATTAACTATTAATCACAGGATTAGCAGAGATGCTACAAAGTACAACAAGATGGTGTCATTCAACAATGGCCATTGAATAAGCGCTATTTTGCTAAAATTATTAGTAAAATAGTGACTGTTAGCCGTGTTAGAGGAGTAACCGTTGATTAAAGAGATGAAACAATAGAATTTCTACGGGGTGAAATTATTGAGGCCGCTTACAAGGAGATGTCGCTGAATAGGAGTGGCTGCTCGTACAGATTCTCCTGTACATGGTAATTTAAGAGATTAGCAATAAGTCCATGATCAAATATTGATTATGTCATCAACAAGCATTGTGTTTAAGAATTATAGTGATAATATTAAAGAAAGGAAGAACACAATTACAATTAGATTTTCATAGTAATGTGGATTCTCTGAGTTTGCTTCTTGTCTTGAACTTTGACTGTCATCTAAGATTTGACTCTGTAAAATAAGTTTAAAATATTAGAAGATTACACAAATAATAAATTATATAGTCCAACCATTCAACAAGCTTGTAACATGGTTATCAGAATTAGGTTCTTTTGACCTATCCATCAGTTTTTTTTGTTGTAATTTTGTATAATCCTAAAACAAACAACCAATACAATAAACGCAACAAAATAATTTTTATGTATCAATATTTAATGTGGGCAAAATAGTTATCCCTATCTGTCAGTCCACAATTTCCAGTGACTTTTCATTGGGTCATAAGGAAGGACCATATCTAAAATTCAGCATATCAGTTACATGTACATGTACCTCCCAATTTACATTTTAACTTATGAATCCAATACAGGATAGGGTTTTTGATAAGCTTAGTTTTAAAACTCAGTGGGATTTAGCTGTTCAAATTATCAAAAACCATTGAAAATCAATATACTTCTTTGTTTCAAGACCTTAAACTGTGCATCAAGCCAAAGTCAATTGAAATGATTATAATATATATAGGCGTGATCATGGTTTATAAATATGAAATTAATCAGAGTGATCAAGGGCCATAACTCTGGCAGTAATAATCAGAAATCGTTTAGCTTCTAGAGCATCCACAAGCAATTGTGGATGCCGCCTGGACAGATGAGGGCGACGACAATATACGACCACATTTCAATGTGGGCGTATAGAAAGAAAAATAGATGCACCTCGATATTTTCATAATTTACCGGGTTAAAGCATTGAAGTTTTTGTGTCAAAATAAGCCGTGGGAGGTTTCGCGGCAAAATTAGCCGTGGAAGTTTTCGAGCCAAAATTAACCATTTTAGTTTTACTATTTTTGTAGTATGAAATGTCAGGACCGTGTTGATTTACATGCTACTGCTAAGAATTTCAAAATGGAATCTTAACAAAAGTTGTACATTATGGCATGGACTAACAAAAAGCAAGTTAACCAGCGTTTATTAAACATGCATTTGTTTATTATAGAACCAACATTAGTAATGATGATCAAGCCTAGCCTAAAATTGAATTGCTAATATCTCGGTTCAGAGTGAAGCATTTTGACTGAACTTTTCAGCGTATTCTGTTTTCATTATCTATTTTTTAACTGTTACAGAGATTTATCTAATCTTACCTAATGCCCCTTTAATATTAGCTATAGGGATCACTTTTGGATTGATATATTTTTGTTTTCGGGTCAGTGAATGTTGCTGTGTTGGAAAATGATTAAACAGTCGTTGTTTTTTGTATTTTAGAGGAGAGCAGAAAAAACCTCGGCTTAATGAACAAATTGAAAAAATCGCTCCCCTAAAAAAGTTCTCCCTGTTTCGATAAGAAGAGTGATTTAGAAATTAAGGAGAGTGATCTGATATTATGGAGAGTGATTAGTTGCATGTATGGGAAATGGTTCTTAAGATCAATAACTGCTTGTAAGGGGTCATTCCTGGTTACATAAATGATAATAAAAATAAACATCGTCTACTAATAGCACTCGTAGTCATACGGTCAAGTCAAACTTCTACTATCGTCTATAACTACAATACTGTATTCCAATAGAAATACTTGTCGACATTTCTAAATATATATACATGTAGCTTGTATAAATTCTGTTTAAAAACATAACCCCTATTCAAAATATAATCTATTTCTTCCGGAATTATTCTCATTGGAAATTTTCACGTGCCATCTCTCGTAATTTCTCACATCTCGCGAGAGTTCTACTTTTCATTTCAGTTAAATTAACCAATGGTGCATAGGCGCCATCTATTTTTAGCAACAAATTCATCAGGATTTTATTACCATGTGCGATTACATTATAGCCTACTAGTCGAATACACCAAATAAATGTTCACAATGACAGCATGGCGACGATCGGAATGTGAGTCTTTCACACTCTTTACAAATATAGAGAGCGATTTTCAATTTTAAGGCGAGGGAGAAAAACCTCCCCTCAGTCGACATTTAGATGCGCGGCAGGCGCTCGCAAGAGTTCGCGCGCCTCAAAAAACAATTAATGATTAAAATATTGTGTGATCGCGATCGACATTGGTACGTAGCTAATCGCTGAGGCCATGCGCTGTTATGTTCTGCAATTTCTGACATTTTTGGGGATTGAGGTGAGTGAAGGCCTGTTTTATGTATAATTAATATTTAGCCATGGGGGAATGCCGCGGCTGGTTGCACACATGACAGACCTGTGACCCAAAGCACAAAATACCAAGAAGAAAGGTCTGATAACACCATTAAAATTAATTAAATATACATGTAGCCAATTAACTCTATTATTAATATCTACATTTAAAATACTTACTGGAAAACTGTTGGTGCACATACTAGCACTAGGAGGACTGGATGTTAAAATACTGTTTTTACTAATACTATTAGACCTGAAATTAAAAGGAAATAAAATTTAACTCCAATTTATTGTAAATAAGATATTAAACATACATAATGCAATGAGCTAAATCTGCCTATTGCAGGTCTTTCTTTAGGTCTGAAATGTTATCTAAATTATTAATTAGCCATTAATTAACTTATCCGCACCATAATCAACTCTCGATGTCATCGCTAGCCTACGATATTTACTGGATTAAAATCCGATCTGCTGCTCAACGCTCATTGGTGATTAAAGATACATTAGTTAAGAGTTTAATAAAGAGTTGGTCATTTTTGCTATAATAATTCAAAAATAGATGTTAAAAAAGAAAATATTGAAAATTTCATTCAAATTACTTCATTCTCAGCCAAGTTATCATTGTAGTTTTGACAAGATGTGTGCAGAGTGGTCCAGGGCACTGGTATAATCGGGACTTAGCCTAGCTTTCCCATTTTTAAATTAAATTTTTAAATGGCGAACCGTTTTAATCTAGTTAAAATCTCGAGTATCCGATGCCATCGAGAGAGGACTGTTGTTATACTCATTCGACGCCACTTTTCGACCAATCAGAAACCAAGAAACTGCCATTTTGGACTACAATCCCCCATAACGAATCTTTAATCATAAATGTTTAGTATTTTTACATTGACATTTTTTTTTTTTTTTTAAAAAGCCATATAATTTAAAAATACAGTATATATTTGGTATGAGCAGAGTTAAGAACCAAAAGAGGGACATCAACAGGCATTAATATAAGAGAACTATCAATAAAAATAATAAAAACATAAAAACTAAAATACATTTAAATGCAATCCCTACCTTGTTGAAGACGAATGAAAACTTGGACTTTCTTCTGACTGCCTACTAACTGTTCTGTCATTTAATCCTATATTATTCATTACAGTTAATAGATCATCTCTAGCTGGCTCTATATCTTCTAGCTGTGTACTATTTAATGGTAAGACTCCCTTATGTCTGATTTCAACTGGGGTTAATCCTGCACTACCACTGTCTGATCCATCCCCCACCATATTGTTAGCTTGTACAGTAGGTGGCTGTATCTCTTCACTTTGATTTATATGTGAATTTCTGACATCTGATTTATTTTGATTTATACCATCTTGTTGTGGTGATAAAGGTAGTAGAGTATCAGATCTGTTGCTTATGGGTAGTGTATAATATCTAGTCTCTTTATCTGGTGTAGTAGCATTCCTCAACATCTCTACACTGGTCGTTGAATTCTGCTGTTGCTGTTGTTGAAGTAATTGCTGTATCTGAGATTGCAGTTGTTGAAGTTGAGTATTTTGTTGCATTAATAAATTATAAACCTCTGGAGAACATTGTTCTTTATTTAACAAGTCCATCGAAAAGGGTTTAGAATTCTGTGATTTATTTTCCGGGCTGTTAGTTTTAGGTGATGGATTAGATCTGTCTGGTGTTACACTAAGACCGCTATCATCACTTGATTTATTACTGCATGTACTGTCGGCTTGGGCTACATTTTGAGCTGACTGAGAAACAAGGAGATCTGAGGTTGTTATGGTTATGTGGCACTGTTTGGCTGTTGGTTCACTCACTTGATTCACAGATTGTCTATTACAAGATGGTGGAAGATTACGTTGAGTTGATTGAGATAACTGATTTTGTTCGTTCACTAAAGAAGGGTTTTGAACAAGATGAAAAGCACTATTACGTTTTTGATAAACTGGCACATTATTATTAGAACAATGGGTAGATTGCGGAAAGAATTCATTTCTCACACTGTTTTGAAAGGGAACTTGTTGAAAATTTTGTTGTATTTGAGCTGTATTTGGTACAGTATTGTAAGTCACTGGTGGTGGTTGGCGGGGAGCACTAGAATATTGAGGAAAAGAATTATTGTGGTTTTGAGGCACAGATGAAGGCACTGTACAATGATTAGGTAAGGACATATGAAGACCATACTGATGATGATAGTATACTGGTATATCATTTGGTGTTGACTGCTGATATTGTTCATTTTTCACACTATAAGAACCAGGTATATTAGGTCTATAATATTCTGAAGATGGTATGGGATTCTGACGTGCACATTCAAATGGTTGAACACCATTTGAAACTTGATGTAAATTTGAATTATTAAAAGGTTGCTGACCATTGTTCATTGAAGGCATCTGTGAATACTGATGGTTACTATGGTAATTATTATTTGGCACATTTGTCTGTGATAACATGTGAGCATTCGATGTTGCTAGTTGACGTTCATTATTATGAACACTGGGATTTTTGTGGTTATTTTGGCTTGGTAATCCAGTATTTTGATTAAATCCGCGATTTGGTGATGAAACATATCCAGTAGAAGTTGGTCCAGAGTTTCGTTTACTAAAAGACGGATATGCATGCATTTTATGCGCCTGAATACGCTGTTGATTCGAATATTGGGCTCCTGTAGGAGGATCAGTCAAAACAAAGGAAACATCTGGTACCAGATTTTGTATCATTGGAGCCTTGAAATAGAAAAAATAATTTTTTTTAAATAATTTAGAACCTTGTTTTAAATATAACAAATTACAAAATATTAATTATAGAATGATGGGAATCAAAAAGAATGGCTTAAAAGATATTCACATCTCCAATACATAAAGGTAAAATACTTACCATTGTTATTAGTGGAGCAGGAGTTAATCTGGGCTCCATGTCCTCGGGACCACTGGATTTTACAATTGGTTTATCTGAACACCTGTCGTATATAAGATAGATCTATAAAACCCCATACTTTAAAGGAGCTAAATTGCTAATATTTAGGAACTAGAAATTAACACAAATGGGTCGCAACAACGCATATAATAATGTGATATGAATGTATATAAACTGATTTACATTCAGTCGTTTCCGTTTTTACTCTAATTTCAAATGAGTCTACACCGATAGCATAAGAATATGGAGTCACCATTTGACATGACTGGTGGAATATGTCTAACCTCGTTCTTTGAGTCCCTTGTTACAAATGGCACTGAAACGCATTATGGTTCAATTTGTGTACCAATGGTACTAAAACGTTTATTTTGTCTTGGATATTGGATATCAGAAGCCCATCTTTTCCCAGTAAGATCACAACTTCATTCTTGATTTAAATTGACAAATAATTCATGTTTTCAATGTCGACAACTTTGGATGATACTGAGTTAGAGACTTAGCTAAGTACTTTAAGCTAGTATAAAAATATATGAAGAGGTCTTGCCAAATTAACATTTAAATTGTCAGTTTTCTCTGAAAATACCTAAACTGATTGCCGTAAATTAAATAGCAAAATTTTATTTAAACAATATTTTATTTGTGCTTTTAGAAAAAACACTATTTACTAGTTGGCTTTAAGGAATGGTGGTTTTGAAAAAGGAGGTTCAGATGATGTTTAATCATGATGGAAAAAAAAAGATCTTCATACATATGCCATGAGCATTAAATTTTCTGTCATTTTCTATTAATTAAAATCTTACAAAACAATTATGATTAATATACCCACCTGTTTCTACTAAAAACATTCAACGCTGCATCAAATATTTCACGCTTTGGTCCAACTTGTACACAGTTTAAATCCATAGATATTACACCATCATTTGGATTTTTTACATTCTATTAAAAACAAAAAAAAGCTGTTGCACATCAAAATGATGGGATTTCGTATATTTACTGATAATTCACTTATTAAATAAATAACTAATCAAATGGTCCTATAATATTAAACTTACCCTGGCCATATTGGAAGCTTCATAACCACAATGCAGATCAAAGTCTAATCCACTATTTCCATTTTTTGTACCACATTCATAAAACTCTGGTTTTGAATGTAAGGGACTATACAGCACTACAAGAAAGTTTTCTGGAGGACTACATACTCTACAAAAAAAATAAATAATGAAAATTTTCGTATTTTGATGAAACAGTCATAACTAAATTAAATATGCATTATAAACTGTACAACAATACAGCGATTATTTTTACATTATCTATAGTCTTGAGTTTAACCTACCTATCTTGAATATGTTCATTATAAATATATCTTAAACATGCAGACCAAACAAATGGATGATGAACTACAGGAGCACCAGATATCCAGCTGAAATATTCATGAAAAAAAAATTATTACACATTACAATTAAACTATTATTTTTTTAAATTTTATTATACAGGGGAGATAATTCTGATAATAAAACAAGGATTTCCATTTTTTGAAGAGTTTCCCCCCCTTTGACCACAAGCTGTAACTTAAGGGATACTTTAGTCTTGGGAGTCCCTAATTCACAGAAATATTTAAGTGTCAGAGAATGGAGCCTTGTTGATCCTGATAACAGTTGCAGTGTGAGATGAATGAATGTAAATACTTCTAATTTCATCCAATGCTATTTTTATTACATTATTTTTTTCTACCATTAATATTGCATATAAACCAGGGTCCGTAGTCAAAGGATATCTTAAGTCTACTAGATTTCACTTAAACATAGGTACACTGTAACTTCCTGTAAGTTAAGGTAAGTGGTATTCAAAGGCAATGTTAAGTATTAAATTTTCTCTTAAAAGTTAAGTGGCCTTAACTTTTAGTCTTTCAGAGGTATTCAAAGCCCAGTTTTGGCAGGACACTACCTAAGAATTTCACATTGATCACATAAACTTGCCATTTGATTTAGTGTAATATTAGTATGTGTTAATTGGTTGCCATGGAAATGGAGGCCATATTGGATTTTTTATATATTCAGGGATGGTGGGTATGTTAAGAAATCAAAATCTTCACTAATTTTATTGAAACAAACTACTTGTGATTTGGAATAACATAGACATTAAAGAGTGCAATAAGGTACAAATTTTACTATTTGACTATTAATAAAGAGCATTACGCATCCCAAATAAAAAAGTGGCCGTGGCCAAACACACCACTAACAAGATTTTGTACAATAAAAAGTCCAAATGCCAATCACTATGAAAATCACCTTATTGCACACAAGCTGGTTCTCTCATAGATTTTGTGAATTTGATTTTCTAAGACCTGATATGGGTGAAAAATAGAGTACGGAAGTTAAAGGGCGTATGGCTCTATTTTGTGGAACCATAAATGGCTCAAAAAACACATATTAATGTAATATGAGTGTATTTAAAGGGATTTATATTCATTTTTTTTTTTTAAATTATAATTTTTAATCAGTTATGTTCGGTGAAATATGTGAACAGTATAAACTGAACGACAGTCATTTACGCCTGCTTCGTCCGTTCTAAACATTTTTTTATTATTATTTTATCATCTGTGAATCAGCCATTACTATTTATTGTTGCGTTTTAATTTAATATATGTTTTTCTTTGTTCATTGATTTTGCGCTCGAAACGATATGGTACACAACTCGTGTACCATATTTTAAAACGTTCATTGTGTCTTAAATATTGGATATTAGGATCCCACATTTTCACGGCAACATAACATCAATATGGATTGAAATGGACCAATATTGAATTATAATTTGTGTTTTTAATTTCGAATGACGAATATTATGAAAAATGTTGAGTTAGAGACTTAGCTCCTTTAAAAGTTAAAAGTTTGATTTACCTACATATTAATAACTAAATATTCAACACTATATAACATTAAGGTTAGACTTAAAATTTTTTGACTCTAATGGACAATTTTAGCTGATATCAAAATTTGACAGATCGATCTATACAGAGTGTTTTATAAGGTAGTGAGTGTCCTGCCTTAATTATGTGACCTATGGGAGGTACCTTACTTAAAAAGTTAAGCGAGATTAATTAATGATTTCTTTTTTAACCGGATTACCCAATGGTGATTTGAAAAGTAAGGGGATTAAGATTGTAATAAAGACCATGTCGCAGAGCATAACAGGCTTCAAACTTATTTTCCATCATCAGCTTTGATGTTGTCGCACCATAATAGTGTATAAATAAGGTTACTATCGCCGAGATGATCAAGGTTATTTTTTCCCGATCATTTATCATGTTCGTATTGTTTAATGGTGTTGTCCACGACTGTCTTACAACACTGTTTGATGTATTAAATTCATTTGTAAAATGCATCATTGTGATGACATTCCGTTGTAGATTTCAGAAAATATTTATACCACCGCAAGAAGCAAGGCATGATTTATTTTTTACAACTCATTCCCATATATATACATATTTGAAGTTAGCTGTGGATGGGCAGTAGTATTGATTGCAATATGTTCTGTCTTCCTTTGTATCTAAATTTACAAATATATGATGATGACTGCTGACCGAAGCGTGCTACCAATGATTTACAATTGAAGAGCCCAGGGGAAGAACGATCTAAATCATTTTTTCAACAACCCCAGTTAATGGCGCCATCTGGTAGCAAATTGTATAAGCTTTCTGTGGAAGTCCATCGTATTTATTTGACCTTAACTTGGCTGAAAAGTGGAAGTCAGTTGTTGTACTGGTAATTATGATTCGTATTAAACATCATTTTGAAGTTGTAATTAAAACCACTTGATGTTCTGTTCGAGTCAAGCATTCTCGTCCAAAAGTCTGTTTTGCCTTTTATGTGAAAAGACAAAAATGTGACTTAGATCGTTCTTCCCCTGGACCCTTCAATCAATTTGTGTTACCTATTGCATTTCAATCGGTAGTATTTATTCGGGTAAAAAAATAATACCACGTGCATCTTTCGTACATGCAATGTACCGTCAACGCAAGGCCTCTGAGAATCAAAAGTGTAGACACTTGCACTATGTCTATGAATTTCTCAAATGATAGATTTATAAACAACATGCTAATATGTTGTTTTCTATTTGTGATACATTGTTAAAATAATTGAGTTTACAATATTCATCATTATACTACCACTATTCGATAAATGCAATTGAAATTAAATTTTTTCTAAAAATCTATGACAACAATTGTTGCGGCAAAGGATGCGTAATTTATCATAAATTAAAATATAATATTTTTGACAAATATTTCCCTAGTAATGACAACTAAAATTTTAATAGATATTAAGAGTATAGTGGTGCTCTTAAGGGGACATAACTTGCATGCAATGTTACTTGTTAGAGAGAGAGAAATGGGGTTGAACATCCAATTAACACAAATTAGGTCATTTCAGGACTACAATATGGTTCAATTTTATTTCAATAATTCGCTTGTACTAGCGGTCTTTAGCAGTGGGAGGAAACTGGATGACCCAGACAAAACCCACAAGCCTGGACAGGCAACCCTACTCCTTGTCACATACAATCAGGGAATCGAAACCACGCCAGTTGACTCAATGACAAACCTTATGATACAGCACAAATGCACTAACATTCATTTTTCAGACCCTCCATCCTGCATCACTGACAAGGGGGAACCACGCCACAAAATCTGGATGAACTTTCTCAGCCAATGCAGGGATCGAACACTCGACCTCTAGGCTAGCGATCCAGCGTCCTACCCACTTAGCCACCGTGAAGAGATTTTTCGTACAATCAAGGGCCATAATTCAGGAAATTACAATCCGATATGCGTGAATGTCGACAGGAACAAAGATCTTTTGAGTTATAAACCTGTGGCCGTATTTATAAAAATTCTTAGAGTTTTAGAAATATTTATAACGGGTCTTAGAGTTACTTTTAACTAAATGTAAGACTTGGGTCCTAACCAAACTCTTAGCGATGTAACCATGGGAAATCCGGGGATTCCCTGAAGTTATTTATAGCTCAGTGTTGATGTCATGCAATCACTCTACTCACTGTAGGTTGACTAACGCCGAAATCGTCACCACTACACAGTTGCATTTTACCAGTAGCTAGGAAACGAAGCGTAATGGCGATCTTCATCTCAGCGTCGATTGAGAAATTTCGTTTAGTAGGACTCGTAAGTAGATGCCGAACTAAATCTGTCACAAAAAGAATCCCACCCATGTCCATTCGATATCTCCTTATCAACTCGTCATTGTTGTACTCCACTAAGAAATCTCTTCTTGTTTTAAACTCTCTTAGGCGGCGTACACGGACGGCCATGTTAACCAAGATAAGAGTACTTTTAACAAGTTAGGAGTGCTACAGGAGGACTCCTAAATATGTGTCATAGTTAGGAGTAATTCTTAAAGTAAAATGTTTTATAAATAGGTCTTAGGAAAATCTACAAAGTTAGGAGTAATTTTTGACAGTTAAGAGTTGGTTCCAACTCTTAGAATTTTTATGAATACCGCCCCTGAATTTCAAGTTTCATCAAAATCAGGGGCGGTATTTATAAAAATTCTAAGAGTTGGAACCAACTGTCAAAAATTACTCCTAACTTTGTAGATTTTCCTAAGACCTATTTATAAAACATTGTGAACAATATTCAAATGGGAACACATCAATAACAACACATTTGTACACTTATGGATGCTTAATCTGTAATCAAGGGTACAAAGTCAGAAGGGTCAAAACCAAAAGTACGACACAGATGTCAGTAGCGCGTGTGTCCTCCACGGGACATCATCACAGTAGGCTACAGCATTAACGTGACCCCTGCAAATCTGTAGGGCGGTCGGGTGATGAAATGTGAAGCCTCCCCACACCATTACACTTCCACCACCCCATCGATTCGTTTCGAGACGCAGCAGTCTGCAAGACGTTCCCCAAGACGTCTCCACACGCGTTAACGGCCATCAGCATGATAAAGATGAAAGCGACTCTCATCACTGAAGAGCACACTTTGCCAGTCTACTCTTCGCCATGTCTGGTGTCCTTGAGCCCATATCAAACGCCGCTGACGGTGATGATCCCTGAGGATAGCTCCAACATAAGGTCGTCGTGCACGGAGTCCTACTTCTCTTAGACGACGTCTTACGGTGTTGGCACTTACTGGTCCTTGTCTTCTGACGACTGCTGCACCTGTTCGAGTCGCTGGGCGGAATCTGTCACGCAGATGAGTGACCCGGATGTAACGGTCTTGAGTCTGGGTTGTAACGCGTTGTGGACCAAGACGTTGACGGTCACGTGTTGATCCAGTAACTCGAACACGTTCCACCAACGTTGATTTTCAGTAAGTCTCTGTATCTCTAGCTCGATTCCTTCACACGTCCAACAAAAAATTATGACAGATTGACATTTCACAGTTCATGTACTGCA